CCCCAAAACCCCAAAACCCCAAAACCCCAAAACCCCAAAACCCCAAAACCCCAAAAGAACATAATAGTTGTAAATAATTTAAAATGAAAACCAAAGAAGAGCCGATTCAGGTTGAGGACAACAAGCAACTAGAGATTGTTGAGGATGCTGGTATCGAGTATACCGAATCACAAGACCTAGAAGACATCGAACCCACTGATGAAAACATCTTTAACATCATTGAAAGACTCTCAAGTGAGGATTGGAAGGAAAACTTTTATGGATTTGGCAATTTAAGAAGCGTATATCAATTCCATCCAGAGGAATTTAAGCAGTATCTTCCTAAGTTTAAAGAGTTAATTAAAGAAGGGGTCGAAAATCTAAGGTCAAGCATTTGTAGGAACTCTCTCAATTTAACCAGTGAAATATACTCAACTCCCAAAGATCTGAGTGAGAAGGATGAAAATGGAGACCTCACTCCATAATTAGAATTCACAGCAGAGATTCTTCCCATTGTTTCAAAAAGATTGGCGGATGATAAGGTGTTCTTGTCTTCTCGCGCCAAGACTGTAACTGAGTTGATAGCTGCTAATTGTGTAAGAATTTTCAGATGTGAAAAGATTCATAAACCATGAATCCTTGCTACTAAATACATTTGCTAACATGACTAATATAGACCCATAGCAGAGAAGTTACTGATGTCTTATGTGAGTTAAGCCGAAGCAAGAGTTTTGTCATTGCATCTGAAGCCAATAATGCACTCAAAACCAGCTGCTCGCTTTTTGATGAAAAACACATCAGGAATAAGGATAATCTAGACAATCTGTTGAAATCAGTATCTACCCATCTTGAGTCAAAGAGACAACCATTCACTAAAAACTCAAAGCTCATTCTGAAATGCCTTAAAGACAAAATTGGTGAAGCAGACTTGAAATCATTAGCAACAGAAGTGCTTCAAGACGATTCTGAAGTAGAGCAAATAATGAAAGCATTTATTGTAAAGAAGACTAAAGATTCTAGCTCTGGTTTTAGAGCATTCCTTAAGAACAAAAAGAAAACAAAGAAGGCAGACAATGAACCAGAGATATCTTAAAGCATGGGATAGATCAACTAAAAGCATTTTAAGCCAGATTTTCCCACTAAAAGTGAGATGCAATGCTTTCAATTCAAACTAGGCTGTTCGGGGTTTTGGGGTTTTGGGGTTTTGGGGTTTTGGGGTTTTGGGG